AAATAGCCAATCGAATTTTTAGAGGGGTCGAAATTTTGGAGTTTTCACGGTACTAATTATTCCATTTCAATGAAACTTAGTACAAAGATGCTCTAGGACAATGTACAAACCTAATTAGTTTGGGGTAAAAATCTGTTCATATTAATTCCCTAATAAGCATAATAATTCATAATTTTTTGGTTCTAATCACATTTCAATTAAACTTGGAGACATAGATTTTCTGTTACATTGCGCAGACCTCATTAGTTTTACACTCAAATCTGGTCATATTAATTTTCTGATTTGCATAATTAGTTTTCAGCTAAGTAATTTCGAATTATATTTAATGTGTCTCCAATACTCTCAGCACATGGGAGTTCTTTCTAAGCTTTCTTTGATATTTTGAAGAATGTTGTCCCAGAGCCACATCTTAGATATGCCTTAAAGCGAGAGGGTCGTCACCTGTGCACGCGTGGGTATTGAGTCCCAATCGATGATATCAACACGCGCTAAAAATACAAAGTGAAACTTTAGGTGATTACAATCAGACTTTACATAATATATCATGTCACACATATTGACACGCATTTATTTCAAGGCTTATTGTAGTAGAGATATAACATTAGTTATTTGTGAAATGTACTATAAGATTTGCCAGAACCTTTTGTCACATGCTTTGAATGATTGCATTTACCTGTTGTCTTAATATCTATTGCATGATGAACTTACAATGAAAACTGGTGAGGACTGTGTCATGTCTTGTCATAACATAACTTGTGTGAACTGATCATGTACATCATTCGTCCACATCTCAATTTTTGTTTACTGGATGTATTTATTTATCTTAACTGTAAACACTGATTCAAATGTACATGGGTGATCGTAAGAGTAAGCTGTCGGGCGATGCAGTGGCTTTAGACTTGACCACACGTGGCTGGAGTACATCGGCTATCAGAGATGAAATGTTTATCCAGATATGCCGACAAACTACAGACAATAAACGAGAGTAAGTATTTTATTTCATTTGGATCACAACCGTAATGTTGCTGTTTGTATATAGAATAGTTATGTTGTACTGGTGGTGACTACAACACTCACCACTTTCTTCATCCTGTCTGTGTTTATTTACAAACTACTTATGGATTGATCTCTGTGCGTCAATGCATCCGAACCTCTATCTTAGACATGCCTAGACCGATTGCATTCAAACTTCACACATACATCATGCATAATATTATTACATATGCACTTCAATTAGTTTCGCGATCTGATTCAAGATGGCAGAATGGCAGCCATTTTTGTACCGTATATAGAATAGTTATGTTGTGTTGGTGGCGACTGCAACGCTCACCACTTCATCCTGTCTGTGTTTATTTACAAAATAATGTATTTTTTTTCTTGACAGTGATAGTCTTGAGAAAGGCTGGGAGTTAATGGCAATATGTTTAGCTTTCTTTCCACCATCACCTAAATTTCATTCGTATTTAGAAAGTTATATTTATAGGAATCTTAATCAGTGCCATGACACAGACAAGGTAAGGATGTATTCATCACATTGCTGTCTATAGTGCTCAATTTCAATAGTAGAAAATCGTGGGGGCATGGTGTGGACTATATAATCATGCAGTTCACATGCAATGGAAACTAGTGTTATTATGTAAAAATACCAACTTCCTTCTCAAATGATTGTGAAAATATATAACTTAAGTTAAATTTTACGTTTGATTTCAATCCTGTGGAGTTTCTAAATTTTTTGGCAGTTTCGGTTTAACACCACGAATCATATGATAATTTATGCTAATGAGGCATGACGCCTAAGCAAGTCAGAAGACGTGCATGTGCCTTCATTGGCTGCTATTGATGATCTGTAGATTGTTATCCAGAATTTCTGCAAATAGTGGTTCCACTGTATGATTTGTTTTTCTTTGTGTACCGTTCAAACATGTACAAGATGCTCATGTTTAACATGAAATGTGTCACTTGCCTTTACCATATCAACTGGTGATATTTAGTCCCATTTCGGATGCAGTTTGAAAACAATTCATGGATTGACCTCTGTGCGTCCATGCGTCCTATATCTCAGACATGCTTGGACCTATTATATCGAACACACACATACATCATACATAATATTATACATATGCACATCAATTTGTTTCACGATCTGATTCAAGATGACCGAATGGCGGCCAATTTTTGTACTGAAAAATCAAAAAGCATTTCTAGGCTGTTTACAGATAAATTTTGTACAACCAATAGTTGCAATACTAAACAATGGTAGTAAAAAATTAGCTCCTCAAATTCCTAAGTACATAGATGATTGTTTTAAAATCAGGGAGAACAACCCAAAAAAAAGTACTACCAGCTGCCTCAAAATGAATAAAAACATTTACTTTCATTTATTATATTTTATTAATACCTTTGTTTTATACTCTTTTAATCTCATTTAATTTTTTTTTCATTGCTATACCTTTATTGTATTCTTCAATCGAAGTCCCATAGAGGATACGATAACAATAAAGATGATTATTATTATTATTATTACATACTATATAACTTCACACTAAATATCATAACTGAATGATATTCAACTTAGTCATGTGATAAGCAAATTTCATCATCAAAATTTATTTGATAACATTGAAATGACCTTCAGCTCATAACACTCTTTTTACAGGTACAAGTGAGTCATTACGCTTCACACTGTCTCAAGCAACTTGTTAGGATATCATTGTCAGGAGCTAAGAAAGGCCTTAAGAAACCTACAATAGAAGAAATTGAACAAGCCCGTAACTCCATCTTCAATCCCTCCATGTTTGGTAACTCATTAGAAGAAGTCATGGCTTTACAAAAAGAGAAGTTTCCGGATCGAAAACTGCCGTGGATTTTACAGACCCTGGCTGCGGAGGTTCTCAGACTGCACGGCGCTCAGACTGAAGGCATTTTCAGGTCAGATATCTGTACATGCACGTACCCAAAATTGTAAACTGCTTTAATTATGGAAAGACAAATTTTTGTGAAAATGAAAAGTTGTCCTCATTAAAGTAATTAAATCAAATACTGTAAATGCATTAATTATTCACTAGGTTTTAATTTTGCTATTTTCGCTGATAAGTAAGCTGATGTAAACATTAAACATATATTAAAGCTACTCGCGTGCACACACATGTGCAATTTTAAACACGACTACCAAGAGATGCAAAGTTGCAAAGAACATC